ACTTACTCATCATAATCTAGTAAAAGTTAAGAATATAGTTAAAAATTTGTGAATAAGTCTGGTAAAATTTACTTAATTTGCTCAACTAAATCTTGAAACATATACTTGATCAAATTAAGTAAAATTTTACCTGATTTATTCACAAATCTTTAACTATATTCTTAACTTTTACTAGATTATGATGAGTAAGTATTACATGAATTTGTAGCATTTAAATTTACTTAAACATTAGTGCAAATTGTTACGAGGGTTTTTTCAAGTAAATCTTACAAGTTCTTTATAACAGCGCACATGTGTCAAGCACAATATTGTAGCATGACACCTCACAGCTACAGAGAGAGGTGTAGCTCTTGTTGTAGTTAAAGACTTCACCACCAGGTGGTGGTTTTGAAGAACCTTTATTGGATTCTTCTTCATGAACAACACARRYAAAGTGAAACTCACAGGTCTTATTAATGACTAGGCCTACCACTCTCACTGATGGTTACTTCTGCTTAACGGTTCAACACAAGTAAACAATGAACACACAAATTGGAGTAACACAACAGACTAATTGCTGAAAGAACAATGTTAAAAATTCCCTAAAATGATTTAACAACAACAAACATGAATCCTACCCACAATCCTCCACTGCAGTCACATGACAAACAGCCAAACACAGCAGAATGCTGCAATATCATTCCCTGTTCCCTGACAACTAAATATCATCTACATTATGCCWTCAAACTATTGCACACYAACAAATGTATTCAAGCAAAAGAAACCAGACAACTTATGTTTTATTTCGACCATGTCTTGTCCTCTCCTTGAAAAGTGAAGCAAGGGAATGAGGAGCAGCGGCCTTTGTGTGTGCATGCATCCTCAGTTTTAACCCAGAAGAGTAGAAGTTACTTAATATATTCATATTTATGTGCTGTCCAGAAAAAGCACTTAAGTATTACTGGTAAAATAATATTAGCATTTACTTTTTTGTACAGCAATATTGATTTATAATATAATGTGTGTTGTTTGTTTAATCAATTCTAGTGGTTTAGAGATTTTTGATATTTTTTTGTAAAATTTAAAAGAACAATTAAATAAATGTTACTGCACCCCAAAATCCTTTTTTTTTCAATGTAGTTTGATGTCATCTTTCTGTATTTAACCAACTAAAGAGATTTTGGACCTTTGGTCTGGGCGCAGGCGAGTGTCTGTGGGAGGCAGGAGAGGCTTCAGGTCCGGCTCCAGCTCATTTAGCTCCATGGCGAAGGTGGAGAAGCCGTAATACAGCAGATAATCCTTTGGCTGGGGATCTGCGGGAGGACAGAAGCCTCTCAGATGGGCTCTTACACAAACGTGACGTGTGGATTTATGCTGATTAGGAGCGTTGGCACAAAGAATTCCTAATCATTTCACTTTCACCTAAACCTTCCACCGACATGTGATACAAAGACCTGAACAGTGAGAAATAAAAGAGATAAAAAGGTGACTCACTTGGCTTCCATATGCATTTTGGCGTCGGCAGGGTGTCACAGAAGATCCCTTCATGCCACAGACCTCCGAATCGATGGATGATGTTGCCACTTTGGTCCAACACAGTTCCCTGGACTTCGTTTTTGTTCGTGTCTGAACCCCAATAACGAGACTGAAAAGGAAAAGATCCTCAGTCATTTACAGCAGCGCGTAAAATGATTGCTGAAGTTGTTTCATTCACCTTAACAAAAGTGATCTTGCAGGTGCAGACTTTGTTGTTGAGGTTTTGGATGGTCACCTCTCCATAATGCTCCAGATATCGCTGCTGGCTGAAGACGTTGTGGATGCAGGTCACCACTTTGTTCCACTCGTAATGGTCTCCGTACCTAAACAAACATCCGAATGCACTTCTGATGATCACAATCCAATTATTTGGTTTGTAAAACACCAAGCAGAAGGTCCTGAGAAGATCTTTATTAGTCTAATTTTCTTAATTAAAAACAGCAATTTGTTGAACAATTATAGGCAGTTACATTATCACCCATCTTTCATGACAGCTGGTCAATAATTAGCAGAATGTCTATTGAGGCTAACTGGCTTATCACCAACCTTTGTACTCTCCAGGCAGTGYGAGTTGGGGATTTCACTTTTATTTTATGGGTTGAAAGCTTTAAAGTTGAAAAAACAAATACTTTGCTCCTGTCTGATTCTCACAGGGAATCCCCAGCTACCTTCAAAAAGCTCTTTTAAAGAACACCTCTAACTCGTCTAATTCCTTCTTACTCTGCACTTCTTTACTTCTACATGTGCTCCGAGTTTCTAAATAGGTTTAGTACTTAATGCTGATGTCAGGGTTTTACACGGGCTAAAGAACAAGGGTTGCTCTTCACTTGTATGTCAGAATAAAAACACCTAATCGGTGTTTCAGACCAACATTACCCTTGAGGCCTCTCATAAATATGCCCATTTGTGTCAAGTGTTTCTTTTCACAGACAGTTGTTTATTACTGAATATGAACCTGGTACAAGTATCACAAAGTCATTTGTTATCCTGTACAGACAGGACCAGATAGTTAAGCAAAAATATACCGTATTTTTGACTAAACAGTGATGAAACTATTAAATAAAAGGTCTCATAAATCCTAAAGCACAACTCTTTACCTGGATAAAGTCACATTGACCATTCCTGTTGGATAAATCTCCAGAGACTTCCCCCAAAATTTATTCTTCCATCGCTGGTCTGTTAAGAGATATTGTTATACGCCGATGATGCCGTATGTTATTTAGATCTTCACGAGCAACATATTATAGAAACATTTCACAAGATAGAAACAGATAATATATTAAAAAAATAAAAGGTGTTTATTGAGATGACAGAAGTCTCACCTTGCCAAAATGAGAAGTTTTCTGACTCGGCTTGGCAGGCTGAGATGGGCGGATGATGGCAGACCTGGAGAAAGAGGTAACAAAAAATGCACAGTTGGATTGGTTKYWTTTATTTATTTATTTATTTATTTATTTATTTATTTATTTATTTATTTATTTATTTATTTATTTTCTTTTTTGTAAATTTATAACTGTTTGTTTTGGGGTTTTTTTAGATTGGATAGAATTTGTAAAAATTACCACAATAATTTAGTGAAAAGGAGGGAAGTTGAAGCACAGAAACATTTTATGATCTAAAGATCATAAAGTGTCTAAATGAGGAACTGTTTTTTAAAGAGTTAATTGCATTGCTGGGAAATGCTTAATTAGCTTTATTTGTTGCAGCAATGATGTGAGCAGGCACAGTCTGACTGGCAGAGTCCTGACTGATGAAGGTGGCACAAAGAAACACAAGGGGACAAAACAGAAAAACACAAATGCTGTCACTAATCAACCAATAATTTTAATGGTTAAAATAGCACAAGGTATACAGAAGATAACAAATAAACATGAAAACATGAATGCTGACTCAGCAAATACACAATTAGCTACCTGCTCACTAATGAAACGGAAACCTCGGTCCTCTCGGATGCACTCGAAGGTCTCCCCCAGCACCGGGTTAAAGGGCTTGTAGCGGTTTCTGAATGTTGCAGTGGTGTAACCGGAAATGGCAAAGGCAGCAATGTAAACCTGAATCAGATCAAATACACATTTATTTCAATAAAAACATGAAAGTTAGTTCAGGTAACTAGGAACAGAAAGCTTAGCTTTCTTGTATGCTGCATAAAATATGAACATTGAGGCTCAGAATCTGTCTGACCATCCTCTGGAATGGGTCCGGCGTGTTGTTGGCCGTGTCCAGCAGCTGGCTGTACTCCAGCTCCTCACACAGCCTCTGCAGAAGGTTAACGGGCTCGTTCAGAGCGGCAGGCATTGAAACTCGAGCTAAATCTTTACCTGAGGGGAAAACAGCCCAGGCATTTCAAATAAAAACTGACAAAATCACAAGTTTGATTTCTATTTTTGGCTTTTGGTAGCAAGAGGATCATGCCTATGTTGTTGTAGAGGATGGCCACGAGGCCCACGTGGCTGTTATCAGGACAGTGAGCGGGTAACGTAGTCCGGCGGCCGGTGCTCTTTGGAACAACGTTGTTAGGACTCCGGGAAATGCTTGCACGGTATTTTCGGGTTGTTGATGCTGCAGTGTAGACGAAAGGAATAACTGATTACAACATTATCATTCCAAAACCAATGAAGCTAAAATTTATCCTTTAAACATTTGCTTCAAGTTGCAAAATGTACTAAATAAAGGTGTAAAGGACGCAACAGTGTTAAAACTAAAGGATTAAGAGAAAATAAAGGAGCTGCACATTAAGATAGTACAATCCCTCACCATGTCCCTCCTCTGGCTCTGAGTTTGTGGTGCTTCCATCACTGAGTCCAGACTCATCAGACACCTCAGAGGAACTGCCCCAATGGATGTTGTCACTGGCGTCGAAATATTCTGCAGCTGAATCCACTACTGAAGGTGGGCCGAGGGACGGAGCGGGCTGATGGTGGTGGGGGGGAGGATCATTAGAAGACATCCGACAGGAAAGAAACAGCAAAACAAAAATGTGACAGGTGGCGTTTGTCTCACCAAGTCTAACAAGTCAGGCTGCTGGTGGTTGTTGGCTTCCCAGGCTTCCTGCAGCTTCTGCCGCTCCAGGGACAGAGTTTCATGCACCGACTTCAGAGAAGCAAGAACTGAAAGGACATAAGACAGAGAAGTAAAACTGTTTTTCTGTTCATAATGTCTTACTTCAGCATCACAGGGTACTATTTTGCTACTTTTAGTCACTGTTTTGCTACCTTTGGCTACTATTTGGCTTCTTTTAGTCTTTAACTACAGTTTTTTTTATTATTATTTTAGCAACTGTTTTTCTTATTTTGGCTTTAGCCAATTTTAGATACTGTTTTGCTAATATTTGCATCTGTTTTGATAAATAAGTCTCTATTTTGCTGCTCATATTTGCTACATTATGCTCCTGCAAATTTTAGCGGTTTTGCTCCTTTAAGTTTTCGGCCACTGCTCTGTTTAGACCATGTAAAGTAAAATGTAACATTTTCTTTTTCAAACATTATAAATGTCATGAATGGATTGTTGTAAATGAGTGCAAATTCTCTCAACTGTAGATATTTGAATAGTGGAGATATGATTCAATTTGTGTAACAAGATACAGTATACTGTTTGTGTTTCAGGATTTTTTGGGGGCGTGTCTTAAAGGGCAGCCCCGTGATGTCAGTAGATGCCTTCAGTATAACCCCGCCCCCTGTTGCTGTAATGGAAAAGAAAACAAACATTGTTTCGTTAGTTACCGGAATGTTCAGGGTTGTGGGCGTGGTTTAAGCTCCTCCAGAGAACACGCCCCCAGCATCCCAGACCACAGCTGACTGATATTTTTTTATTACTTTTAACACATAATTTTATAAGGTTAACAGTATTTTTAATTGTTCAAACTTGGCTGGGTGATTATTAACACATACGTATTTCAGTGGTGTGACAATCTCAAAACACACATTTAGTTTTATTTTACACGGTCTTTTAGCTTATAACTACTGTTTTTCTGCCTTTTTTTCTACGAATGTTTTGTACGTTATAGCTTTTAGCTCCTGTTTTATTCATTTTACAAATTACAAATTTCAAAATTACAAATTTCAGCACTTTTACAAATATGTCATTATTTTAGTTCAAATATTCACATCCTTAAATATAAATATTTTGCAATTCTTCCTTTGTTTGTCCACCCTCTTTAAGTTTTAGTCTTTGAATCGTCTCTTCTCTGACCTCGCAGTGACACGGCGCAGATGTCCTGCTGGATTTTCTTGCCCTCGGGTGATAAGACAGTGGAGGGCGCCAGCTGAGAGTAGACGTAGTCGGGGATGGAGGGCACCGATGCACCGAGGTGGGACGAGCTGCTCAGGTGACTGGAGGACAGCTGGGAGGTGAACAGGAGAGGATCATGATTTACTGGTGAATTTAACAGGTCCCTTGTTTTGTCACTTTGTGAGCCGGTGTCACCGGTTTGATAAGAAAGGATCAGCTTGGCTCCACGTGCACTCTGACAGGAACTTCATCTATATCTGTGTGCACACTTATCCTGCTGCCCTTGTGAGTCATTTTGAAGCAGCAGGAGGGTAATTTCACACAATCTGCCAAATGCTTTAGATTTTATCTTTTTCTTGCATTCTTACACAGTCATGATGATATTTTGYAACAAAGCACAAATTAGGTGTTCAATGTTCTGCTTATTGGCAACTCACCGATTTGGAAATCCCACGAATAGGCTTTGGGTTAGATTAAAGAAAAGTCAATGTCATATTTAAGAATCATAAAACTTTCATCTAAATGTTTAATGAATGTCAGATTAATCCCATATATGTACTTAGTTAACTAAATTTATCTTTAAAATAAAAATGTCACTTCTTACCATCCCCAGGGCCTCCACTCTGGACAGAGTGCGGGAGTGACCCCGTATCTTTCCTGACTTTGGCTTCTTTGGCTTCTCAAGTGAGAGATTCTGTTCCGAAATGTGGTTTACTTAATTTTACATGTCATTTGAAACTCAACGGCATGAAAACGATGGCAGCCTGTGCGTACCTGTATGCTGATGATGCGCTGCAGATCTCCGTTAGTGAAAATCTGGTCCGCCTCCAGCGCCTGGAGCCGCTGAATTAAAGAGTTCAACTCGGAAATATCCAGATTACAGCGGTTCAGCTCTGGAAATACAGTCAACTTTGTTTATGAAGCATATTCAAATTAACTAAAATTGACAAATTTTTGTGCAATAAACCCCAAACCAATTGTCCAAAATCATTATTGGAAAACAAAATGAACCCAATATGAATCCTTGAGGAACTCCAGAACTGACAAGTGCTGTAGAAGAAATGTTATAAGAAAGACAGACTTGTCAGAAGGTGAATCAACTGAAACAGAACCCTGAATCCAGCCTGATTTAGAAGAATATTACTTTCAACTGTATCAAAAGGTGTGTTGAGATCAAAAAAATTGAAAAAAAAACATCTATTCACTTCATCTTACACATTGTGATAAAATGTCTTAAATATTCTCARTAAAAAGCTTTGTTTAAAATGATCTGTGTGTTATTTGTGTTTAGAAAATGACTGTTGGACAAACCTTGAACACAGATATCTGGACCGTGGCTTTGCCTCAGCCAGGCTGATACCTTGGTGTTCACAGCTGTGTTGGCTAACGGCAGAATGACCCCCGACCCACCAGCTGAATCTTCCATCCCTGCACAGCTCTGCTAACGTACAGACACAGGAGCTGTAAGACACACTTGGACTCATCATGTTATGTTTGATTTTATTCTGTTGTTTTATCGTCACCAAGCCTCCATTTCTCTGAGCTGAAGTTGTTTGGGGCAGCGTCTGCTGGAGGCTGTTGTGGACAAACGCTGTCTCGTTCTTTTTGAACAGGCGGTGTGCTTGCAGCTTCGTCACCCAAATGTAAAAGAGTTCAGGGCTCTTCGCCTTGGTGGGAAAATACATTTCTTTTATAGTATCAAACAGCGCAATAATTGTATTCGTTTTCAGAATTAGTTAAACGTTTACCTTCATGTGATAGAGAATGTCTCCTGCATCCAAGTCAATCCGATTGGATTTCTTGTTAACTGTCATCACAGCGAGACTAATGTCTAACGAACCCTGGACTCGTCCCCTGGAGACCTTTTTGTAAAATAACATAAAAAAACAGACTGTGTTGTTAGATCTTATTGAAATATAACCATTTGTAACTAAAAAATGCTAAACTGCAGTTAAAACTAATATTACCAATATTTAAAGATTCACTTACATCCTGTTGATATTTAGAGTAACGCAAGATTCCTGCTTCCAATACAAAGTATCGCTAAAATGAAAAAAAAAAGACATTGTTAAAATCTATATTTTGTCTTAATTCTTACTAAAAGTATTGACCCCTCCTCACCTTGTGCCAGCCTTTAAGAGGCCACTTTCTTCTCTTTAAAAGATATCCTTCACAGATTCCAGGAGCCGTTAAAAACTCAGGATTTTCACTTCCTGTTTGCATTTCTACTTGAAGATCTTCAATCACTTCCCAATCTTTGTTTATCTGTGGAAAACAGGAGCCAGAATTTCACTTCAAATGGGCTTTTTTTTTCAGGTTTTGACCATTTTGCAAAACCTGTTTTTGACGAAATATGTATTGCTCATGATGTAACCCAGGCAAGCGTGTACGTAACTTACTTTTACTGACCAGTTACTAACTTGTTACCATCCTGTTACCAACCTGCTACTCTCCTGTTACTGTCATTTTACCAACCTATTATTGTCCGGCTATTGTCCTTTTACCAACCTGTTATTGTCCTGTTATTTACCTGTTACCAACCTGTTATTGTCCTGTTATTTACCTGTTA